AAGGGTGTTTTTATGACATCACAGATGTGTCATTGTAACCTCTCTCCTGTGAATTGTTGTTTCTTTGTTACACGCCCATGGGACACTGTAGAATTCTATGTGTACATTGGCGTGAAATGTACTGAGTGCTTACCGAGAGCCTGGCACTGTGTATTGAGTGTGTATTCAATGCATCAACTCCTATAACCATCTGTATTAGGTCTGCTGGGGCTGTCACAACAAAGTACCACAAACTGAGTGCCTGAAACAAGATGTTTATTCTCTCACAGTTCTGGAGGCCAGGAGTCCAAAATCAAAGTGTTGTCAGGATTGGTTCTTTCTGGGGCTGTAAGGGAGGGGTCTGTTCCAGGTCTGACCCTCCTCGATTTGTAGATATCCTTCTTCACGATCACATGGCATTTTCTGTGTGTGTGTGTGTATGTATGCACACAGGTCTATCTCCAAATTTCCCTTTTTACAAGGACGCCGATAATATTGGGTTAGGGCCCAACCTAACAACCTCATTTTAACATAATTACTTCTGTAAAGACTCTATCTCCAAATACAGTCACATTCTGAGGTCCTGGGGGTTAGGGCTTCCACATATGGATGGGGGGGGCACACAATTCAGCCCAAACTTTTCTGTATTCTATAAGCTCGCTTGGAAGTGATGGTGGGGGGCACCTGAGTGGCTCAGTCGGTTGGGTGTCTGCCTTTAGCTTGGGTCTTGATCTCAGGGTCCTAAGATGGAGCCCCACATCAGGTTCCCTGCTCCGGGGGAGCCTGCTTCTCCCTCTCCCTCTGCTTGCCACTCCACCTGCTTGTGCTCTCCCTCTCTCTCTCTCTCTCTCTCTGACAAATACATAAATAAATGAATCTTTAAAAAAAGGAAGTGACCAGGGTTCCAGGAAGACTGGCTCTACAACTCACACTGTCGACCACTCTACCTGTTATTGGCTGTGTGACCTTGTAACCTCCCTGGGCCTTAATTTCTTTGCCTGTAAAATGGGAATGAAAATAAAATAGCACCTTCCTGTTGGAGTCTTTGCAAAACAATTAGTGCCTGGGACCAGTAAGCATTAATAAACATCAGTTATAATTCCTGTCACTATTGTAGAATTCCATCTGTGTACCTTGGGTCTTAGTAACATCTGACAACATTAGGGGGCCCAAGTATCCTTGCTGTGGGACACTCCCAAACCCAAATAACCCAGGAAGTGGGACAGAATCTCAGATCCCAAAACTACCAAGAAAGCCACCGACAGCCTTGAGGGCCTGCATCCTTGGGCAGCATGGAACAGAACCCACCCCAGAAGGAAATTCATGGAAGGACACTCAAGTTTCTCATAGCCCTCAAGGGCAGATACTAAATGTACTGGGTTGAATAGTGTCCCCCCCAAAAAAATGTTTCTTTCATGTCCTTCCTGGAACCTCAGAATATTGACCTTATTTGGAGATAGGGTCTTTGCAGATGTAAGTAGTTAAATTAAGATGAGGTTATACTGGAGTCATCTGAGCATTATATCCAATATGAGCAGTGCCTTTATAGGAAGAGGAGAAGAGAAGCAGATGAGATGCACAGAAGGAAAAGCCGTGCCACAAGGGAGGCAGAGATGGGGGTAATGCAGAAGCCAGGAAAGGAACGCCATCCACCAGGAGCTGGAAGAGGCAGGGAAGGAGTCTTCCCTAGAGCCTCTGGAGAGAGCATGGCCCTGCCAACACTTCGATTTTGGACTTCTGGCCTCCAGGACTGGTGGAAAATAATTATCTGGTGCTCTAAGCCACCCAGTTTATGGTACTTTGTTTTTGGTTTGTTTTAAGTAGGCTCCACGCCCAGCTTGGAGCCCAAGGTGGGGCTTGAACTCACGGCCCTGAGATCAACACCTGGGCTGAGATCAAGAGTCAGTGGCTCAACCCACTGAGCCACCCAGGTGCCTCTATGGTACTTTGTTAGAGCAACCCTGGGAAACTAAGGCACTAGGGCATCCCACCGCACCAGGAAGAGGCAAGTAGGAAACGTTAGTAGCTCCTCTGTCTCTCTAGGGCTCTATGGTCTCATCTGTGAATCCCCACACATCTTCCTCCTCCCCCGCCCCCTCTCTCTCTCTTGCACACGCTTCCCTCCATGTTTCTGTCACATACAGCTTCCAATTCCTGACCAGAACAGCTGGTAGAGCCAGGCCTGCCCCTATTCCTGTGGAGGAGATCTGATTGGCCCAGCTTGAGTCATGTGTCCATCCTGGCCCAGTCAGCTGCACCGGAGGACTGGCATCACCTGGTGCTATTCAAAATAGGCAACAACTAGGTTAGCCTGTCGCTGGTCCCTGGACCAAGAGTTCTGAGGAGCACCCTTCCCCCCCCCACAACCCTGGAGGTGAACCAAGTGCAAGGTTTTGGATGGCAAAGGCCATCTTGGAAGTCCAGAGCAAGCACCTAGTAATGGGGTGGGGGTGAGTAACAGTCTTTTGCCAATATGTGAACCAGACCGAAGCCATCTTGGACAGATGGCCACCAAGACCACTCTGACCTGAAGCCTTCTTGAGCACAGCACCCCCACACACATCCTTCCCCTTTTACTTAACCACATCCTTGAGTATCCTGGGTCCTTGATCTGCTCTGGAGACATGACTGTGACACACCTATTCTCAAATATTCTCCTCCTGAGTGCCCTCGTCCCGCCCCCACCCCACGGACTCCCAGCGTCTAGCAGGTCTGACAGGAGGTGGGGGTTTCAGGGACCTGCTCCTCTTGCAGCCACTCAAAACAGGTTTCTGTCTGTAAGTCCCCTTAATAAACCATTTCTCATCAAGCTGCATTCGTAGGCCTTTTTCTTCTATCTTACAGCTCCTTAGGATTTGTCATTTTGCACATACTTCCTTTTCACGGGACAACCAACTAGAATGGAACAGTTTATTTGTTTTTTGTGGGTTTTTTAAAGTTCATTTATGTTTTTTTTTTTTTTTTTTTTAGTAACCTCGACACCCAACGTGGGGCTTGAACTTACAACCTTGAGATCAAGGGTCGCACCCTCTTCTAACTGAGCCAGCCAGGCGCCCCCTAGAACTAGGTCAATAATTTAATTCCCAATCAGGGTGACACTCACGGGTGTCAGCTCAGTGCCAGTCCTGCACACTCAAGAGGAACCCTGAGAAGGGGTAGAGATGGGTCAGACAAAAGGCGTTCACTTCCGCACCCGCATCTCCACAGCCCATCCCACACCCTCCTGTCTGGCCAGTGCGGACCAGTCTTCCACCTCTGCCTCCCTTGGTCCCGTCCTTCCTCCTAAGGCCCATCTAGGTCACCTGCTCTGTGAAGACTTCTCTGCCCACCCCAGCCCCTTTTGTCCTATGTAAGAAACCAAGATCCAGCTGGTTTATATGGACCAGCCGGCAGATCTGCATGGTGGGGAAAGTATGGAGCTGGGGGGACTGGCTGGTCTGGAGACAGGGGTGTATAGCAAATGTCTAACAACCGGCTCTCCAGAGGGGGAAAAACGAGTATGTGCGTCTATTATAAATTTTGTTGGCAAAAATGTGCAGCATGTATCTACAAAAAACATATAAAATACTCTCCTTTTTTTAAAAAAGAATTATTTAGTTATTTGAGAGACAGCACTTACGCATGTGCGCATGAGCAGGGGGAGGAGCAGAGGGAGAGAGAGAATCCCAAGCAGACTCCCCACTGAGTGCACAGCTGACACAGATCCCACACCTCTGAGATCATGACCTGACTTGAAATCAAGAGTCAGATGCTTAACCAACTGAGCCACCCAGGTGTCCCTATAAAATACTCTCCATTGCAAATTGCATAGTCAACGCTTACAGAATGCAGTCTTGGATTTTTCCCACGCTGGTACCCATAGCCATGTATGGCTCCAGGCGACAAGGTTGGAATGTTCCTTTAAAGACTAAGATGAACTGGAACAACAAAGATGTCCCCACCTCACTTGCTTGTCAGTCATCTTGAGCAACTTCTTTGCTAAAGCAGATAATGGTCTGAAAACACAAGACATTTAAATACTTCCTCAATTTCTCACGTGCTCTTCACAACGTCACGGCTCAAGACTAGACGCACTTTCGAGTTTAATCTACATGTTTAATCCACACTTTCTCCATCATTGTCTTAAATAGGTGATCCACACACAATAACATGAAGCCAACCTGAAGCATTTGCAGATGCCCACGGCCAATTTTAAGTTCCCAGCATGAGGTCACCGAACAGAGTTGGCAAAGCAAGGTCCTTCAGAACGGACGCAGTACTTCCACCACGCAGATACAAGCAGGTCACATCACCAGCAGAGAGAATGACAAAATGGGAATGAAGTCCCAAAAGCATAGGGTTGTTATGTCTCAAATAGAGATACCTCATGCTGTCTGACATACAGTGAAGATTCCATACTTCGCGGTCAGTAGTTTTATAAGTATTGTATCCTCCAATACCACGCACCATCCATCACACACTCTCCCATGTGGTCCAGTCACACGGGGTCACACATAATCATAGTCCTAGTGCCAAGCAGGCATACCTGATGGCCAGCGTGGCAAAAGCTGGGCTGTCTGTCTTGTTCATAGCTGTGTCCCCAACACCTAAAACAGTGCCTGATACAAAGGAGTTGCTCAGAACAACTTGCATGAATGAAGCTCATACATCATAGTCCCACGGACCCCCGAAGACTAGCCCCCTGAATGCCAGAGCAGGGCTGGGGATGAGTCTTTATTTCGCACATATTAACATAAATAAAATTTTTTTTAATCTGTTTTGTTTGCTGATGTTTCACCAGCCCTGCACAGGGCCTTGCCTACAGCAGACGTTCAATAAATATAAATGGAATGGATTAATATAAAGTACACTGTTGAGCTCAGGCTCAGAATAAATACCAGAAGTTCGACTTGGGGCAGGACGGGAGAGTGACTTGGAGAGCCCTCGAGAGTGGGTCAGCAGCGGGGACCCCTGCCAAGCCGGGTGAGGTAGAGTCGCTGGGGCGTCCGTCAACCAAGAGCCCCAATGAAAGAAGGCAGCATTCATTCTCGGTCCAGGGGCCCGGAGCCAGGCCCCGTGTCAGTGGGCCACGAGGAGGGGAGTCCAGTGGGGACTTTGGTGGCCACTCTGAAGAGGCCCAAGATGGTGGCACCCTGTGCGAGCTGCCAGGCGAGGTGTACCCCCGCCTCAGCCCGCAGGTGAACACCCAGGCGCTGGCCGGCGCCCAGGTGCAGCAGGCTGCCCTGGAAACCAGCTGCGGAGTCACGGGCCTCTGAGGATGGAGGAGGCAGGTCCAAGGTCAGAGCCGGGGCTGCAGCCGCGGCACCAAGCGGTCGCAGATGCAGGGCAGCGGAGACTGAGCCGGAGCCTTCGTGGGACACCACCCGCTGCAGCTTCAGGTGCAGGAAAACATAGTAGACCCCGGGTTCGGCCACCATCAGCTCCCCAGTGTGCTTGTCGTAACTCAGGCCCGGCCCCAGGAACACGCCTGCCAGGCCCGGGTCACTGTACCAGTGCAGGGGCCCTTCGGTCAGCCTCACTGAGGGAGCAAGAAGAGGGGGAGGTTCCTTGAGCATGGCTGTGGAGCAGGGGTGCAGCCCTGGGGAGGAGGAGCTGGGGCTCTGAGCCCGAGAGGGACAGAGGTCTCAGAAGGAAGAGGTTTTGAGAGGGAGGTGAAGTTGGTGAGGGAAGGGAGGACTGGACAGCGAGGGAGGGGAGGACAGTCGTGAAGAGGGAGAGTGGGGGTGCAGGGTGGGAAAAGCAGAAGGAAGCCGGAGGAGGGGAAACGATGCCAGAGGTGGAAGGGGCAGTGGGACTGGGGAGAGCAAGGTGGGGAGGGAAGGAAGTGGATTGGCGGGGAGGTGAGGGGGATGCGGGAGGCGGCACCGCCTGGAGGGGACTCAGGAGGGAGGAGGTGGAAGGGAGAGCCTCAGGAAGGGGGAGAAGACCGAGCGGAGATGGGGGAGGGAGGGAAGAGGGGGGCCGTACCTCCCAGAGCCCCGCGGGAAAGACAAGAGCAGGTGCGGTCTGTGGGATCCAGCCCCACGTCTGGGGGCGGGGGCCGCGGGAGGGGGCGGAGGGAGCCTGAGGTAGGTACGTTGGGGGCTCAGAGGAGGAAGAGCCGGCACCCTGATAGGGTTATGGGAAGGTCAGGAAGGCAGAGGAGGTTCAAAAAGGTGAGGGGACAGCTTTCAGAGAGGAGGGGAGGAGAGTCAGATGGAGGGGGAGGAGGCCCCCCTGTCCCGGGATTCCTCCGCCCACGTGCGCCCCAGGGGCATGGCCGCGGGACACTCACCATCTCGGGCCACCAGCTGCGCGAACACGCCCTGCGGAGAGAGGAAAGGCGGAAAGTGGACGGAGGTTCCCCCTCCCGCTGCCGCAGCCCCCTGGAAAGTGGGGGTCCCCGGGGGTCTGTGCAGGCCTTGGGCCCTCCCCCCTGCTCCAAATGAACACACTAGCATACACGAGCACCCAAAGCTGGTGACTCAACGTCCCCCGACCCCTGGAGTCTGCAAGGGCAGAACCCCGTGATTCTGCAGAGACAAGAGGAGCGAGTCCCTCCAAGGGCCCTTGGGAAGGAAAGGGGGAGACCCCAAGGGCGCGGGCAAAAAAGCGAGGTTCTCCGGGAGTCAGTAAAGAACATGGAGTCCCCCTCACGGTTGGAGTTCAAGAAGAGCCCTCGGGGTCCGCGATGGAGAAAGGGTTACCCTCCGGGGCCCGGGACGCAGATGGGGTCTCACGGGTGTGCCCCCCGAAGTCCTGGATAAAGAAGGGGTGCTCTCGGGGGGCCCGGCTGGGAGAAGGGATTCCGGGCGCATCTCACCTGCGGAGAGTCGGGGAGGCGGGCGCGGGCGTCGGGCAGGAGCTCGGGGAGCTCGGGGCGCCCGGGGCCGGGCACGGCGGGGGCCCGGGGCGCGGCCCAGCGGAGCGCGCAGGCGGCGCCGGTGCCGGCGAGCAGCAACAGCGCGGCGCTCAGGGCCCAGGGCAGCGGGCGGCAGGCGCTGCCGGGGGGCGCGGGCGGCCGCTGGGCCTCGGGGTCCGGGCAGGCGTCGGTGCGGGGGCACATGGCCGGCGGCGGACGGCTGTAGCCCGGCCCGGGGCCCCGCGCTTTATAGAACTCAGGAAGCCGCGTTTTCCGGGGCGGAGCGGGTGGGGATGCCGGCTCCCCGCCCTCTCCGCCTTCCGTCTGAAGTTTCCCTAACTTTCTCTTCTCTGAATCTCTCTCCGCTTTCCATCTGCTTTCTCGCCCTCAAAGGCCTACCCCCACTGTTTCCTCTTCGTCCCTAGTTCTCTCCCTCCCCGGTGATCTCTCTCTGCCTCTGTCTCTCTAGGTGTCTCTTCGACACTCTGCATCGCCTCTTCTCTGTGTGCCTCCCTCGCTCTTAATCTGTCCTTGTCTCTGTGGACTGTCACCTACGAGGTCTCAGGGGTTCTTTCCATCTCTCGGCCTCATTATTTCTGTGCGTCTGTCTCTCTCTGTGTGTCTCTCCCTGTCTCTCGATGTCTCTGACTCTCTGATTTTCGGTCTCTCAGTCCGTCTCTTTCCCTTCTTTCTTGACACTCTCTAGACCCCCATCACTGGGGCTCCCCCAGCGCTCCCCTAAATCCAGCATATCTGCAGAGGGGTCAGGGAACAGCCAGGCCTCATCTCCCTTCTCTGGAGCATAAGCCCCCCCACCCCCAATTGGAACCCTGAGTGGCAAGCTCAGCTCTCCCGCCACCCTCCCTCACCTTCTCGGGGAGCCCTGGGCCTTCCCTGGCTTGCCCCCACCCACCCATCTGGACGCTTCCCGTCAGGGGCCCCTTCTGGACCCCACAAGCAGAAGGCTGGAGAGTCCAGGTAGAGAAATCCCCCTTACAGGGAAGGGACAGTCTTGGCTAAAGCAGAGGAAACTCAAATTTCCCGTTCACTCTCCCCTGATGGAGGCGGGGTGGGAGGAGGAGCAGAGCAGGGGCGAAAACTCGGACCCAAAAGAGGAAGCCACAGTATATTGAGAGACCGGCCGCACTGGGAAAGCCCTGGCCTCCGCCAGAAGCTCGGCTCCTCCGGGCCAGGCCAGGTGGACACTGGCCTGGCAAGGGATCCCAGCATTGCATCAATGGCAGCCAGGAAATGGTGCGGGGGCGAGGTGGGGGGGGGGAGGGTCGGGATTTGGGTTCAACGGAATCGTTATGGGATGATTCCCCTGCGTTCTATTTTGTTGTATTGGGCCTCCTTGGAGAATTACCCGAAGCAAACAGTCATGATGCTGGCCGTTGTTGATACTAACAGGTGCTAATGCTTCCTGTATCTGAACAGTTCGTGAAGTGTGACACCCGACCTAGCAAACTAGCCAGGCAGCAGCACCTGGGGATTTGTTAATTATGCAAATTCTAGCACCGCAAACTAGGCCTATTGACACTCTGGGAGCAGAGAAGCCCAGGAATCAATGTGTGGTTAAGCCCTCTAGGCGGGGATTCTGATGCTCGCCTAAGTTAGAGATGCCACTGCCTTGTACCAGGGTCGTTCCTTTCCACCTGCCATCCCTCTGGCTGGAATGTTCTTTCCCAGACCGGCAGGCAGCAACACTTTCAGTTCCAACATCACTGTGGGTAGAGAGGATGAGCCGAGCACCACGTTCTACTGGCACTCTTTCCTGAAACCCCACTGCGGTGACAGCTAAGCGATTGTTTGAAAACTAAACCAAAATTGTTAGCCAGCAGGGCAGGAAGCTAAATATCATCTCCGTAGCAGAATTCCACCATCGCCAACCCCCAAGGCTCCCCGGCTGGGGGTGACCCCCTCCCAACTCCAAAAGAGAGTGTGGTGGATGGCTGCTAACATTGAGGAGTTTGCTTCAAGTAGATCCCCCAAAAGAGACACCAGCTTTTCTCCCCAGCAGAGAGCGGAAAAACAGCCATTTCTAGAGTTGCTTTTTCCTCCAGAGAGCCGAAAGGGCACTTTCTGGGCAGAGGAAGCCAGCTGAGGGTAGGAGAATCACGCTGGGAACCGGAGTGGTAAGCAGACCCCTGACCACAAATGCAGGAGCTGAAATTTCCCCCACCCCAACCCTCGCCCTCACTCAGCACCCAGGACTGGGAAATGGGACAGTAAGAGACCCCTCTCCTAGGAATCAGACCAACCAGAAGAAAGATTTACCGATCCTGAGGCCAAAGTGTCCTCTCCCAATGGCATCACCCCGCCAAGAAGCTCACAGGCCATGGGCCAGCCTGTTTAGTATTAAGCCCTACCCCACAGCAAACCATAGCCAGGAATTGCCTCCAATGACAAAATGTATGTATTACAGAAAGAGATACTTGAGAGACCAAAGGCATCACCTTCTCCAAGGACCCAAATGAAAGTGTCCTGCCCTTGGGTCTGGGTTATATGGCCCCATGGGATTTCCTTGGTAGCATTTCCACCATCTGAAATACGCTCGTTCGTTTTATTTCCTTGCTTGCTTTGCCCAGGAGATTGTTATCTCCTGATGAGTCGCATCTCCATCTGCCTGAGAAAACTGCCAGCCTCAATAGTATTCACTGAATGAATGAAGTATATAGCATGACAGTTACCAGCATGGACTCTAGAGGTCAACAAAGTACAGTCCACCAACGGCACATTTTGTGTTTGTTTCTGGTTTTATTTTTTTTTAAGATTTTATTTATTTATTTGACAGAGAGAGACACAGCGAGAGAGGGAACACAAGCAGGGGGAGTGGGAGAGGGAGAAGCAGGCCTCCTGCGGAGCAGGGAGCCCGATGCGGGGCTTGATCCCAGGACCCTGGGATCATGACCTGAGCCAAAGGCAGACGCCCAACGACTGAGCCACCCAGGCGCCCCTGTTTCTGGATTTAAATGGCAGGGAAACGTCAAAAGAAGGTTTCACAGCATGTGCAAATTATATGCAATTCAAATGTCAGAGTCCACAAATAAATTTCCTTCTTTTTTTTTTGTTTTTTTTTATTATGTTATGTTAGTCACCATACAATACATCATTAGTTTTTGATGTGGTGATCCACGATTCATTGTTTTTGTATAACACCCAGTGTTCCATGCAGTACGTGTCCTCCTTAACACCCATCACCGGGCTAACCCATCCCCCCACCCCCTCCCCTCTAACACCCTCAGTTTGTTTCTCAGAGTCCATAGTCTCTCATGGTACATCTCTCCAACCGATTTCCCCCCCTTCATTTTTCCCTTCCTTCTCCTAATGTCCTCCATGCTATTCCTTATGTTCCACAAATAAGTGAAACCATGATAATTGACTTTCCCTGCTTGACTTACTTCACTTAGCAAATAAAGTTCTCTCGGCACCCCGCCCCCGTGCCCATTCATTTGCGTGTTGTCTATGGTTGCCTTTGCAGTACCATGGCAGAGTCGAGTGTTGCAAGAGAGACTGGCCCACAAAGCCCAAAATATTTACTCTCTCTGGGCCATTTCAGGAAAAAAAAAAAAAAAAGTTGCTGCCTCTTCTCTAGAGGCTTGAATTTCAGCTCTCGAATGTCTTGCTTGTGATCTTGGGCAGGTGGCTTTACCTCCCTGAGCCTCATTTTTCCTGATATGGTAAATGGGAATAAAAGTAGGTCTCCAAGGGCGGTTGAGAGCTTGCCGGGAGGAGGGCCAGGCACATCATGAATGCTCAATAAAGGGGAGCTGGCATCGTGTGATCTCTGAATCTCCTACAACCCCTGTAACACCATCATCCCCAATAGGCTGACGCAGAAACTAAGACTCCAAAAGTAGAAGTCACTTAGCCTCAGTGACTCACGGTGACTGTTTGGAACTCCCTACACCCAGAGGCTCCACAGAGATCTATACACTCCCTCCCCCTCCAAGGAGGGGAAACAAGGCCTGGCAGCCCGGGGAAGACTCAGGCCACAGCCAGGGAGTGCCATGACGTGCTGCTGTGGTCGGGACATCTGAGCCAGGCAGCCCTGCCCATCGCAAAGCGCTCAGCATCACCCCGCTAGCACCCCACGTTCAGTGGAGTTGCACCTCTGCGTTCAGCAGTCTCCCCAAGGTGAGTGTGGGCCGTTTTCCTCACCTCTGGGGTAGGACCTGAATCCTCACCCTTACCATCATAGGGCTCAAGGGAGGGACTGGGCAGGAAGTAGTTGGAGGGAGGAGCACCTTCCTTCCCCGCTGGGAGGCTCAGTGAACAGATACCTCCTCCAGGAGGTGTGCCTTGATTTTTCCTAGCAAAATTCATCTCCTTTTCCCTGGGTTCCACATTGCCTCCCAGCCCCTACCTGTGGCCTCCCCACCCCACCCCACCCCACCCCCGCCCGTGTCAACTTCACGCTGGCCTGGATCCTCTGTCTCCCCCAGGGCAGAGGCAAAGCCTAACAGAGAACATTAGTGATGTTTGCTGAGTAAGCACACAGTGAGAAAGCAAGCAAGTGAGCAAGGGACCAAACAGGGGTGTGTAAACAAGAAAAGAAGAAAAAAGGGAAGGAAAGAACCGAATCAAATAAAATTGGTCTTGAACCATGACAATGTGTTTTGGGGTTTTTTGTTTGTTTATTTTTGGGGTTTTTCTAAGATTTTATTTATTCAGAGAGAGAGCAAGAGAGCACAAGCGGGGTGGGAGGGGGCAGCAGGCAGAGGGAGAAGCAGGCTCCCCAATTGAGCAGGGAGCCCGATGTAGGACTCGATCCCAGGACCCCGGGATCACAACCTGAGCCAAAGGCAGCCACTTAACCGACTGAGCCACTCAGGAGCCCCTAGCCATGGCAATGTTAACACGTGTTGAAGGAGGAAAGAGACACAGAAGGGGGAATCGTGTTGTTCAAGTTAGCCGAATCTCTGGAAAAGCGGGGTCCGGGTCTCCTCAGACCTAGATAGGCCAGGAGGACAGGGCCCAGCACGTTATGTGTACCTGTGGTGCTGGGTACGCCCTGCAAGGCATGGTAGTGCAAAACAAGCTTTGTGGAGTTGGGGTGCACAACCAGCTGCTTTGGAATTTGTGTGATTCCAACGTGATGTTGCATGTTTAGGAATGAGGACAGGGAGGGGTCGCATGTGTGCACAAGTGTGTCTCTAGTTGAGGAACAACACTGGCACAAGATCCAAACTGCTCGGCTTCAA